CCCCACAGTCTCCAACCTACCTGGACAGTACAGCAGACATGGCCCTGTCCACTAGCTCCTTCTCCACTCCCTAGCCCATCCACCACTTGCCCCCCCTTAAGGCTTAGCCCTCTTACTTTTAAAAAATGATTGCTTGCCCCTTCCCCCCCCCCCCTCAGGGTTTTCTGGCAGCCCAGTTGCCAGGTATCCAGTTTTAGACTGGAAACTCCAATAGAAAATGGGACCTGATTTTCCAGTTAGCATGGCTGACTGGAAACTAAGTGTCCGGTTATAGGAATAACCACATTAGCCTCTGCTCCTCCCACTGCCAACACCCAGCCCAGCGGGCTGGAAGAGAACCTGTCTTGCTGCTGTGGGAGGAGGGGGCAGCTGAGTGCACAGAGAGACAAAGAGAATGGGCTAGAACCAGTTAGGTACCCACTCCATGTGGGCGGGGCGGGTAGATCCCGTTTACCCCCTCCCCAGCCCCGCTGCGCTTGCAGTTTACCCCTGACCCCTCCCTTGCTCCAGAGACCAACCCTAGCTCCTGCCCCACTGTGCTTTTACCCCCAGCCCCTTTTACAATTATTCCCCAAGGGGGCTCACAAAAAGTTAATCCGGCCCTGGTTACAGTAGAGTCCGAGGCTACCCCGGGCCGTTTGCCATCCCATTTTCCATCCCGCCAGGCCCATGACAGTGGGGGGCAAACGGCTGGTGGGGAGTGGGAACTAAACTATGCCCAAGCACTAACCAAGCTCACACAGCGAGAGGGCGGCACAGACTCGACCCCCGGGCGTTACTAGACCAGCAGGGCGGCGAGTCCCTTCAGGCCCCAGCGCCTCTGTCCCATTCCCGGGGACCAGGGCGCGGCGCTTTCCCAGAAAGTCTTTGCTTAGACGGGGCGCTTAGCCCCCGGCCAGGGAACGAGGCAGCGATAGGCTCAGCCTCTGCAAAGAGCCGCCCCGCCCCCTAGAACCGGGGAAGCGGCTCTGCCCGCGAGCGACCCAGGGCCCTCGTGCAGTGACGTCATCGCGCAGGGCTCTGGGTGCGGCGTGGGCAGGCCGGAGAGCCTGTACCAACCGCGCGGCCCAGCGCAGCTCGGACGGGAGGGGCACAAGCACAACGCAGGTAGGAGCCGGAGCGGCGCCATGTTGCGACCTCCCGCTCCCTCACTCACCCCCGCTCAGGGCCAGGCACTCTCCATCCATCACCGCTCTCCAGCCCTCCGCACAGGCAGGATGAGCCGAGCCCGGAGTGATCGATTCGCCCGGCTCAGCTGGCCGTGGGCGCTGGTGCCGAGCGCGGTGAGGGCTGCCGGGGTCAGGCTGAGCGCGCTAGCGAGCGGAGCACGCGGGAAACGGACCATGAATGAGAGCGATTGCAAAGAGCAACGCACCTGGCCGTGGGCCTGTCCCCCGGGGCTGTAGGCGCCACCCGAGCCCCAGCCCCGAGGAGCGGCAGGGCCGGGGAAACGGCAGCGAAAATGACCCTCCGTTCGTACAGGCTGCGTCCCATTAACACGCTCCCTCCCACGTAGCCGGCCGGGAGAGGGCCATGCAGCAGGCCGAGTACCAAGAAACGTGATTATTGTTGACGTACCAGTGTGTGACCCAGGCCTGTACGTTGTGCGTGGGGATCGGGAGGCGGGTAACGGCCTCGTGGGAAAAGGGTGGGCCCTAGCCGCCCTCACCTGTCAGCTTGTTGCTAAAGCAATGTGGGAACGCTGTCTTTTCCAAAGCTGTCGCTGCCATTTTGTAGATCATTCAGCACATAATCTGTAATGCATGATGTTGCCCAGCAGCTGTAGATCAGCTGGCCAGGCTGAAATCTGTTTTAAAACACTGCAGTGTTTGCAAAGTGGTTTGAGGGCAAATGTTAGTGATGTGGCCAAATTACATTCTGCTTATGGTAAAGTCCCCACGTGACCTCAAATTAATAAAGCATTCTTCTCCTGTCTTAAGCCGTTGTGTGTTAGGTCTGCATGTGGGTGTTGGAGTAACTATTTTTATACATAGTTGTTGGTAAAGGGCCAGCCTCATTATTATTTGTCTGAGAAGCATATTACAGATTTTAAATTTCACATGTTTTTTACTTTCTGTGAGCAGTCTAGAGTTAAAGATAGGCAATACATACAGATACTACGTTTGCGCCACAGCTCATAGAGAGCCGAGAAGCAATACATACAGATATAATAATGTAGGTACTAATCTTTCAATCAGTCCATACAGGGATACCATATCCTCTTGCCTATGCAAAGACTATTCAAAGTCAGTGAGGGTCTGCCTATTCATATCCAATTGCAGTCAGGGTCCTGATTTGTCTGGTCCTATATTGAGTCCCTCCACCCATGCACTCATTGCAGGATCAAGACCTAAATCAGTTTGTAAAACACCTTGATAGATTATGGATTAAAGAGAATACATTTTAAAAAGCTACAAAATGCTTTATCATATGCAGGTGTAATTCTCTAATCATTACATATTTTGGATTTCAGAAAATCTTATTTCCTCTTGTAACAAATAAATATAGTATATGACCAGCATTGAGAAGTTCAGTAAAGATATTCAACATTAAACCAGAGTGGTAATACAAAGGCCAACCTGAGATCACAAACTATTCTAATAGATATTAGGTATGGGATGGAATATGGGTAAAAGGAAGAAAAGTAATAGAAAAGGGGAAATAATAAAACCTAAAGCTGCATCCCTTAGAAAATTCTTTTGTGAGTTGAAAGGATTAAAAATGCTTACAACAGTATCTCCAAAGAGACTGAAAAAAGGCTCCAAATCCTAAAAGATGAACAGCTGGTCTTGAATCTCCAGGGGGAGGCTGAATCTGGCAAGTGTAAGATAAATACAAAGTTGGATGCTTTATCATTCAACCAAAAAGAGAAGCTCAGAGATTTCCAAAACTCCCAGTTTTAAAGTCTTTCTATTGAGAAAGTCTTTGAAGCCAGAAAAATATTTATCCTTAATAACTAAAAGCTTGAAAGTTCCTGCACTTTAGCTGTTTCACAATACCTAAATCACATACATTATAAGGGAAAGGAAGAGCTGTTCCTTCATTAATTTGAAAGGGATTTCAAGTGCACTATGACTTCATAAAAGGCCATGTTATAACAAGAAATATTTAAAAAAAATTACCTATCAGACCACATGTGAGCTAACTGGCATAGAGCACAGGCACCATCTTTCTAAAGAGATGTTTAAGAGGAACGTAGCCCTTGAAATACTGACCAATTTAAAGTAAAGCAAGTCAACAAAACTGATAAGGAAAAACATCTTGACCAGAAGACCTTTCAAATTTCAAAGCAGTGGAAAGTTTATGGCTGTGGAATGAAGAATCTGCAGAAATGTCTTAATGTAAGAAGCCACATAAGTTTACATTAAGAGATACAGAACTATTCCTGAAGCTGCTGAAAGATACAATTGTACCCTGGGTATATAAACCAGAAATTAAAAACTCTTAAACAAATGAAGAAAGTTCTGAAAGGGAATGTGAATGCAAGCTACAATTTTAATTTTTATCCTCTCAGGAGACTTCACATTGTCTCAGCAACCATTTCCTACTGAATTTACTGCATTATGAACTATCATTTTTAGAACATGTTCCATTTACAGATCTAATAGCTAATATGCAACGAATACTGGAACTGATCAGGTGCCAATACTGAAATAGTGGGATGTTCCAGGGTAAAGCATATAAGCACAAATGATACATAGCTGTAATGGCTTTTACCCAGAACTACCGATCACTCTCTGTTATATATTTCAGAGTGGTAGCTGTATCAGCAAAAAGAACAAGGAGTACTTGTGGCACCTTAGAGAATAACAAATTTATATGGGCATAAGCTTTTGTGGGCTTGAATAAAAACTGGGAGTGGATGGGTCATTACACAAAGTAAAAACTATTTCCCCATGCTCATTTTCTCCCTACTGTTACTCACCCCTTCTTGTCAACTGTTTGAAATAGGCCATCCTGATTATCACTACAAAAGTTATTTTTTCTCCTGCTGATAATAGCCCACCTGAATTGATTAGTCTCGTTAGAGTTGGTATAGCAACACCCATTTTTTCATGTTCTCTGTGTATATATATCTTCCTACTGTATTTTCCACTGCATGTATCCGATGAAGTGGGTTTTAGCCCACAAAAGCTTATGCCCAAATAAATTTGTTAGTCTCTAAGGTGCCACAAGTACACCTTGTTCTTTTCTCTGTTATATAGTGTGTCCTTTTAATTTTTTTTTTAAGATGCAGACTTAAGTCCTTTATCTATACTATTAACAATCATTGTGCTATCTTGATTTTGCCTGAGTTTAATGCAATACTAGCTTCTATGACTTGAACTGTGACAAATTTTCCAAACGTCCCTTTGCAGATACATATGATTTATCTGAAGTCACTGAAAAAAATATTTAATCCCCAACAACCAATTAATCTTTTTATTTCAGGTACTTAAAATGGTATACTGTGATTGGTAAAATCAATTTGTTAACGTGTCTCAATCTGATGAAATGTATTCAGTATAAATCAGAATTTCTTTAGGAAGTCAAAGCATAATTAGAACATTCTGCAACAGGAGATGAAAGTTCAGGATTGTCCTTCCCTAGCATTTAACCTGATTTAGGGCTTGTATATACTAAATAGAAAATGGCACCAGTTTAAGTCAGTTTAAAAATCAACATTGATGAACTCAAACTGATTTAACCCCGGCTTATCAATTTTACAAGCTAAATCAATTAAGACAGGGTTAAACCAATTTCAGTGCATTTACATTAGGGGTTTACACCAGTTTAACCAGATTGATTTCTTAGGGCATGGCTACACTTGCAGATGTGTAGGAAGTGCAGTAGGAAAAGCGCTGCAGTCTGTCCACACTGACATCTGCAAGCGCACTGGCGTGGCCACATTAGCAGCTCTTGCAACGGCCACAGAGAGCAGTGCATTGTAGCTATCCCAGCATGGAAGTGGCTGCAATGTGCTTTTCAAATTGGGGGGGTGGGTGGAGTATGACAGGGAGTGTGTTGTGTGTATGTGGGGGGAGAGAGAGTGGGTTTTTGGGGGGCTGAGAGCATGTCAGCATGCTGTCTTGTAAGTTCAGAAAGCCGCAGACCCGACCCTCTCTCTCTTACACACAGCATTCCACAGTAGTGGTTGCTTTGTCTCGGAGCAGATAAGAAGCCGGCTGTCAGAAATGGACCTTCCAGAGGGCATATCCGCATTCCTGCAGCAATTACAAAACAATGACAAGAGTGGCCACTTGACTTAAGGGGATTATGGGATGTTTCCAGAGGTTGATCAGAGCGCAGTAATGCAACACCTCCTTCACACTGAGGCCCAGGCATTTCAGCCAATGCGCACCAAGCGTTAATCTTCTCACAGAGGTGGAGTACCAGGAGTGCTCTAGCCCTGGAGTCAGAGCGCTCTACGTGCCTTGCCAGTGTGGATGGGTAGTGAGCTAGTGTGCCCGGGGCTGCGTTAATGTGCTCTAACTCGCAAGTTTAGCCAAGCAATAAATCAGTTTAAACCAGTGAATGTTCTAGTGTTGAAAAGGCCACTCAATTTAACAAACATTAAAAAGAAGCCACTAAAATGAGACAGGCAGGCCCTGAATCTCATGCAGGGTTGGGGCTGCTTCATATGATTTCAAGGTATTTCCCCAAAAGGATGTAGTTAATCCATTTGCTACTAGCTGTCAGATGATATGGAAGTGTATGCTCATTGCCATACAAGACAAAAATTCAAATTTGGGAAATAGGCAGTAAAGTGAGGGATATTTGCAATGCAGAAAGCTATTCGTAATACACCTAACCTAAATCATCTTTACTCCATGAATGTGAATTTTTCATTTTTGTTCTTTAGAGCTTAGTAGGTAGCCAGAGTATCCCTTTTAGAACTAAACAATATTGTCCTATTCTGCTGATCAGCAGAAATCTAAGGGTAGCTTAATGTAGACTCCCACTGTTTGGGGGGAAAAGATGGTTCTAAGATTGTGCTCCTTAACAACCTCTGCCC